GTCTACATGTGGACCATGCTCCCTGTTATGGACTAAGTTGTATCCCCAGAAAAGATGTTGGAGTCCCAGTCCCCAAGACCTGTGAATGTGAAATGAGGTCTTTGAAGATGATCATGTTAAGATGAGGTCATCGTGGACTAGGGTGGGCCCAGATACAATGACTGGTGTCCTCATAAAGAGGGAATTTGCACACAGAGAAGACACCAGGTGAGGATGAGAGAGATTGGGATGATGCATCTACAAGGCAAGGGAGGTGAAGGATTGCCAGCCAACCAGGAGAAGCCAAGGAGAGGCTGGGAACAGATTGTTCCTCACGGTCCTCACCGGCAACACTGCTGGCACTTTGGTCTTGGACTTCCAGCCTCCAAAACCATGAGAGAATAAATTTCTATTGCTTAAGGCCCCCAGTCTTGACAGCCTTCTCCCACACTCCCCATAGCTTTAGAATGAAGGCCAAGTCCCCGAGCTCTGCACACTGTGCCCTTGAGCTTGGACACCTGGATAACCGGCCCCCAGGTATACCAGTTGGGCCAAACTCCTGCTTGATGGACTGACTGTTCCTTCGAACATTCCCGCCCTGCATTTGCTTAGTTAATACCTACTCATTGGCAAGACCCAGGTCACACACGGGGTCCTCCCAGCAGCCTCCTCTGACCTGTCCCCTTGGCTGAGTGCTGTGCAAGTGCCCACCAGAGCACCTGCCACACCTTATTCTCATCACTGTTTGGCAGATCTGAGTCCTCCAGACCAGGAGCTCCTAGTGACTAGGAATAGTGTCTTTGTGGCCAGCCATGAATCACTAACAAAACAAAACACTGGCTAACAAAACACACCTCCTCTGATCTGCACCTTATGATTCTAAGGATGGTTTTTAACATGCAACCATAGGACCAGGACCAGGTGCCTCTTCCTAGCCTGCAGCTTCCTGCTAATGAATAAGGTATATATTCTCCCATGAAGTCTAAATGAAGGAATGAAAATGAAGGTGAGTTATCAGAATTACTATGAAAGCAAACAGCATCTGTGTCTGTTCTTTCTTCCCCCAGTAGTAAAAGGATGCCCATTGGTTGTCATGGCATGCCCATCAACTCTGATAGGATTGTAAGTACTTGTCTTGGACTGGGAGGCAGCCAGGGTAGAGATGCTTTCCGATGCCGTGTTACCAGGCTGGCTCCAGAAGGAGGAGAGGACACATGACCCTTCCCCAGCCACTCAGATCCATTTGGCACCAAGAGTTGAGAACACTCCCAGCAGAGAAAACCTCAGAACAGAAACGTGTTTCTTCCAGTGATGGGAGATCCCTCTCCCACGGCCGCTTCTGCTCCCTTCCCCTCCAATCATCGTATTTTCAATCCCCCAGGCCAGGTGTCAACAAAGAACATACAAAAGATGAAGCCAGACAGGATTTACAAAAGTAACCTGTATTCCAGCCAAAATCTCTTTTAAAAAGAAATCCCTTCTAAAGGGGGACAAACTACATAAGACACAATACATTTAAAATATGTATTGAAATTACAAATCAAACTTTCCCATGGGATTCCAAAGTACAAAACACAACATTAAAAGGCATTCAAACAGTTCTTTTATACATCACAGTGTTAGTGGCACAGAGTGGACTGACGTTTCAAAAACACAAACCAAACTTTTGTGTTTTACCACCGCTTGTCAAATACGTACTGTGTACATGTGCGTGACCTGTTCATGCATAGGTTTATACAAGATTAAAATACACCCATGGTAAAGTGAGCAAAGAATGAAGGGCGTGTGGCAGGCGCCTTCCCCTCACCGAGGGCTCCCGGAAGTATGGAAGACAGGAGTACACAAACCAGAAGAAGGACGGAGCTCTCCTGGGACTGATGCTTTAGCAACTACATCTGAGTGCCGGCCCTTCCTTCCATTTGGCATTTTTGGCAACACCAGCCAGAATCTCTTCATGTCATGTATTTTCATAAGGGCTTAGAGTAATTAGAAGGAACAAACAAGCTTTGGTATTTTTTTAAAGAGACCTTCATGAAGCTGTATACATGCAAAATGTTTTCCCTTGATGATTTCACTGATTTACATATATATATATATTTATATTTATATACAGGAGTATTTATTTATTAATAAATGAAAATCTGAGAAATATACAAAAAGCCCTCCCTGGTTCTTTCCAACCCACTAAGTTTTAAAGACCACCAAGGGAAAAATGTCATCTTTGAATTGGTTAAATAACTTTTAACTCTGCGATATAGACGAAAAAGATAGACTCATCTTGGAGTAAGTTTTACGTAGCTGAGACTCCCTTTCCCCATGGGCCCTGGGTTCTAATCAGGAATTGGCCTGGTTCCTAAACTGGTTTTATGAAATAGTATGTCGTAAAGAGATTTTGTCCCCCTTTAAAAGGGTGTAACGAGGTGATTCCCCCAGTCTCTGGCAACTCCTGGAGGGTGAGGAAGAACGGATTTGGACGGTGGCTCGTGCAATCGAAGGATGTGATTATGGTCAGACCCGGTGCCAGTCTCTGCTGCATGACCATTTGCGGGGCCTCCTCCTCTGAGGGCACCGGCCTCCGGCGACCAATGCGAAACTCAAGGGCGGGGCTGCACAGTGCATGACACAGCCAGACTGAGAGACCAGGCACGTCCACTGAGAAGGCACGACGGCTCAGAGGGACACAGAGGACCTAAGGTCAGCCGCCCCTCCAGCGACCCCAACCAGACATCAGTCGAGTCAGCCATGGTCTAACGTCTTCCCTCCCCTCCAGGATTCCAAGGCCTCCAAAGGAATAAACATGCATGGGCTTCCAGAAGGCCAGCACGAAACCATCCGTGAAAGCGAATGCAATTTTCAACTAAGACAAGCTCGGCCATAGGACAGTCCCCCTACGAAGCATAGACCACCCCCACAAGTTTCCCCTGGGAGCGATGGTAAGGTTAAAGTCTAAGACGTGGGCCTGCATCCCCATGAACGATGGGAATGGCGTTCCCTACCGAAATCGAAGTAGTCAGCAGGGGAAATCCAAGTTTACGTAAGACCTCAATGCAGTCCTGCTGGTATCTTCCTAAGAACGGACGACTGTAGTTGACTATGAAAGCAAAGCAAGTGGACGGAAGCACGGTTGGTGCAAAGACTCAGAGCAGGCAGGCGTGACTTTGGCTACGGCCGGCCCCATCTCTGTGGTCCCCGCCTGGCTTGAAACATGCGCTTGGGAAACGTGTCAGAAGTGAAGGCACGAGGACGGCTGAGGCTATGGAGGAGTGTGATTTGCTTGTGGGTTTCTCTAGGCTAGATGGAAGGCCCAATCCACTAAGACATCTGAGCTCCAGCCCAGAGAACGCCTCCTTTCCAAAGGCTCCGGTTCCACCCCCCAAGGAGAAGAGTGCTACTATGGGTGGACTTGGAGAACACGCAGTGGGAGGCAGCTGGTGCAGGAAAGAAAGGTGGACCAGGATGGGGCGAGGCTGGCCCATGGACACTGGAAATAGAGGCACAAGCCTGCTGCTGTCTTTGATAGGCATTTGAAAGTGTCTGGCTACACAAGTGCATCCATGGGTCCCAGTCTCGGCCACCAACTTGATCCTAGGACTCCTAGAGCATCACTGTCTCCAGAAAGCCATCTACCACCAGACCCTGTTGCAACAGTTGGAGCTGCAGAGAATCAATCACTGCCCAGGCTCCACTGTAAAGATGATCTTATGTGCGTTCTTGTTTTGTCACTGAATTAAAAATTCAACCATGGTCGTAAGGAGAATGTTCTGAATGTGATTTTGACACGGACTAATTTCCTAACGGCTTCAGGTCATAAAGATAATAAACACTACAAGTGGAGAGTGAAGGGATTCTGTGTTCTCATCTATCACACATTAAGAAATCAGGAAGATGCTTCTATACGGGGAAGTAAACCGGGACCCGAGGCCAACACAGAAACGCAGAAGTCAAACACGCCTGGAAAACCACCACATTTTACAAATGTGCTTGCAATGAGCAAACTGGTTTGATTTTGTTTCCATTTCCCTCCTTTGTGGAAAGTCTAGGAAGTTTTAAAAAGCGCCACTATAATAAATCTACAATTGCTTTTCTATTAGTTCTGAAGTCCCAAGTTCAATGCAGTCAATTTGTTCCTTAAAAGTGCAGGTGGCTTTGAAAGTCCTATTCAAGCCCGCTCTCTCTAAAGAAGACGGTTTCTCCACTTTTTAAACATCAGCAGCTGCAGCGTGTGTCTTACCGACCCGCCCATTCCGCTGCTGGGGGAAGAGTCACCCCCAGCTTGGGAGGAGCTGAAAGGTAAGGTCTCCTAATCAAAATAAGTGAAATGGAAGGTTTTTTCCAGTGGGGCAAAATGGTTAGCAACAGGGCTTGGAGCTATGTCAGACACAGATTTCTCCAAAGTAACTTAGTGATTTAAAAAAACTGAAAATCAGGAAGCTTCTCCCCCAGGTCCCAGGAGTCCTCTAGTCTTGCCAGGAAGCCCTGCTGGTGAGGACCAATAGCACTGTTCTCCTCTCACTGTCTACACGAGGAGGTGGAGGCGAGCAGCCAAACCATCGTGACTCCCAGCAGAGCGAGTCCCGAGTAAAGCACTTGGTTTCCAAAGACATTAAAAAGTATTTGCTCATAACTGGATGAGAAGAGAGAAGCCCTGAGAGAGAGAGAGAGAGAGAGAGAGAGAAAACAAGAACAAAAAAGGAAAAATGTAATGATGAAGATACTCCTCTCAAACACACTGGTATTTTCTAAGAAATGCAACAACAGAGGAACCCACGTTTACAACAGTATACCACTTGTCGTGTTTGAAACGTCGTTACAAGTTTCAAGAAAAACACAAAGAGCGCGTAAGGCTTTCTAAATCTCCTGAAAAGTGGCCAAGCCAGAAAAGTCGTTTAACGATATCTTCCTAAAATGCACATTTCCAGAAAGGCATAGGATGGTGTAGATGCACCTTGTTGATTTTTCACTACTCAGTTGGAAGAAGAAAAATCAAAAAACAAAAAACAAAAAAACAACAACAAAAAAAGAACGCCTTCTAAAAAAGGATTTTACTAAATGCCATTAGTAATAAAAACAGTTGTCATAAACAGAGTGCTTTTCTCAAGTCAGAATTATCGGATTCTGTCTGAAGTGAGTTGCAATCCTCAAAAGACTTCTTCTCCCAGCAACATGGCACCATCTTGACGCCAAGGAGGAGACGGACGACATTTTGCACAAAAGGGTCTCTTAAGCAACCATCAGACACTCCTAGTCTATCCCCACTGGGAGAAAACCGCCTGGTGCGCTCCGTGCAGCACCTCCCTTGTCAAGTCGGCAGAGACGGATTGTGGTGACGTGCCCTCCCCACGCCAGCCTGCCTTCCCCACACCCAGGTGACTGCCCCCAGGGCCTCAGCAGAAGTTCTGACATTAGTCCCTGAAATCACGGCATCCAGCGTGACACTGTGAAGCTCAATTGGGGCACATAAGGCAAGAAAGATGTTTAGTGAGCGGGGACGGTGGGGCGGGGTGGGGGAGAGCCACGCTTCCCAGAGGCAGGGTCTTGTTCCAGCATCGTGTCTTCCTCTAGGTGGGTAATGGGTCGTCGTCACCTTTACTGCACTTACACTTGCAGCAAAGTACAAATGGAGTGGCCAAGAGCAGGAAAGGCGAGGCCACCAATAGCAGGAGCCCAAATCCAGCAAAAATGCCCACGACCTGCAAGAAGGAAACACAGGACAGAGGGTAAGGTGGCTAGTCTGCAAGTTCCACAGACGAAGCATAAGCCACACAACCACCCACACACCCATCCTCTACCCATCCATCATCCATTTATGTGCCCATCCAGCTACCCATCTACTCATCTATCTGTTCACCCATCATCCATCCATCCATCCATCCATGAACCCATCGTCCACCATCCCTCACCCACTATTCTTCTACCCACACATCCGTTCACCCAACCACCCAGCTATCTATCCACTCAGCCATCCACCCGTCCACCCATATATCACCCATCCCTCATCATCCTTCCATCCATCATCTACCCATCCATCCATCCATCCATCCATCCATATATCATCCATCCATCCTCCCATCCACACATCCATCCATCACCCATCCCCCTATCATCCTCCTATCCATCCACCTACCCACCCATCCATCCATTCCTCTACCCATCTATATCATCCATCCCATCAACCTCCCATCCATTCATCGACACACCCACCCAACCATATCATCCATCCATCCTGCCATCTACCCACACATCATCCACACATCATCCATCCCCCTATCCTCCTCACACAACCATATACCCCCCACCTATCACCTACCCTATCGTGCATCCATCAGTCACCCATTCATCTACCCGCCCATTCACCAATACTGCCTTCCCTTCGCTGCCTTCCCTTCACTCCTCCTGCCCTTTCTTTTTCTTCCTTTCCCTTTCCTCCCCCTTCCTTCTATCTAAGCACCCAAACCACTATCTGTCTATATATCTAATTAGCCAACAAACCTCCCCTGAGCCAGACACTGTGCTGGGTATTACAAATGCAGAAACACATCGGATCATGGATCCTAGAGGAGCACCCAGTTCACTGGAAAGACACTGAGATTTAACTGATTGCCAGTACACTGCCATCACGTTCCAGGTATAAAGGGAGTCCAAGGGTCAGACATTTGCTAAGAGGATGGAGGACTGAGATCACGAAGATGAAGGGGTAGCTAGTGCAACAGAAAGACTAGGATCGGGCATTCCAGATGGGAGAACAGGAGAGACTCAGGCACAGCGTATCAGGGAGGAAGCCAACCCATGACATTTCCGGAGTTTAAACCCAGGACTGCTTTCAAAACTGTTACAAGTTTTGGCTTTGTTTTATAACGCATGCTTACGCCTAGGGGTGAGTAAATGTAGACAAGCTGTCAGGGAAGTCAGGCAGTGTGGCTGGTCAGAAGAGCCAGGTGTTTCCTCTTTGAAAGCCTCTGGCCCTGGCGGCAATCCCCAAGGGCAGCCCCAAGGGCCATCCGAGGGCAGAGTCAGACCGCCACCTAGTGTTCACAATGATACATACACGACCGCCCAGGCACGCCTTTCTAATTCACACTCCCCTGCTAATGTTTCTGTGCCTCATCATTTTCAAAGATAAAATAAACCATCAAGGTACAAGATCTCTAAGGGCCATTATCGGCTCTGAAGCTTGATACCAGGCCAGGGCACCCAGATATATGGAAGAGAGTACGCCTCCGCTTAGACCTCCGCCTGGAAACCGTCCTGCAGGCGCCACATGCTTCTGCAACCACGCCGCTCACGCGAGGAGCCTGGCTCTCCCGCCTGTGGACTACGTCCGTCCGTCTGAACGTAATGTCGACGGTGGGTTACGGGATGTGAAGTCAGGTCAGGCTTTGTTAAAATCACGTGCACACCAATACTTCAGAAGAGATGAAAACGCCAGCAAGGGTTATTTCGAGGGCGTTCGTGCAATCCCTGCCACTTGGAGCACACGGTCAGTCCCAAAGAAGCCAGGGACTCCTCGCAGTCACAAACATACCAAAATCCTTGACCAAATGCTCCCATTCTTGGGCAGTAACACGCCTTCGTTTTCACCCTTTCTTGCCTCTTACTCTGCCTTCGTTTTGTAAGCAAGGACACCAATCTCAGGCCGACTGGTGACGGGAGCAGATGTTGCCAGAAGGAAAGCAGCCAGAGGTAAAGAGTGACATAGGGGACAAATGTCGCAAAACAAAAACAGCCAGTCAGTGAGTGTGTTACAAACATGTGTCAGGCCCTGGGTCCGTCACTGCAGGAGACACGGGGGTCAGTGGGTCCAGGCTCCGAGGGCGTCACGGCAGCGCAGCACCGCTCGTGCTGGCAATCTTGGGGAGTCCACGGCCTGGCGGGGTTCTCTGACCGTGCGCGGCCCCCGGTGTCTCCCACAGTAAACGCGTCATGGGTGTTCAGGAGATGAGCCGGCTGCAGGGAACCGGTAGGCTCTGAGTCACCTCCCCCGGAGAGTTCTACAAACCACACTCCGGTGCTGGGGGACAAGACGCCAAAATCAAAAGATATGTGAGGTGAATGCATGGAACGTCTAATTCACTGATGCTGGGCATCTGCCTCCAGCCTCAGTCCCTGCCAAGCACGGGCTACATGCGGCAGAGGCTGGGCGACAGGGGTGAGGGACCCAGGGCTGTGGCCACTCACATGGCTCTTCCCAGGTCCCCCTGCAGGGACATCACGGCGACAGCCTGAGAGAGACACCGTGGGAGTGTTTGCACCACGCAGCGCTGCAGACTGGGGCGTCCCCTGCCCGGGAGCCAGCAGTTAAATACCAACCATGGCGCTGCTGGGGTGTGCGCTTGAGGCGATGGATTCCAGGATGTACGAGAGCCGGCAGTGAGCTGAGGCTACGCCGATGCCCACCAGGGGACAGCGCCCGCCTCTCTCCTGCCCGCCTTCGGTAATAGCTCCTCTTTCCTCTGCTGGTGAATATTTTTTGCTCTGAACTCCTGAGGCTCCTCTCTGTTCTCTGAAAGAACGGGTTCTGGTGCGAGGGCAGGCAGACGCCAGTTGTGACAAAGGGGTGAAAACTGCCCACACATGGATTTGAGATGCAGAAAACAGGTGCTGGGAAGCTCGGGGGGCTTCCCTGGGGAGGCCGCAGCTGCAGGCGGCGTGAGCCAGGTGCAGATGTGCTGAGGGGCCAGAAGAGAGAGTCTCAGAGGGAACACAGATAACCGGACATGTGCAGGCAGGACATCGGGGCGGGGTCCGGCAGAGCCAAGCCAGGGAGCGCAGGGTCACCGCTCGGAAGCTGTTTGTCATGTTGAGAGACCAGGGAGCAGGCGAGTTCCAGGGGATTTACAGAAGATGACCCACAGGAAAGAAGATGGAGCCAGGAGACCCTTCCAGGACTCCCAGCAGGCCAGGCAGGTGGAAGGGAAGAGGGGGATGGGGAGGAGAGGCTCGGACCAGAAGACAATTCAGAAAGCAAAATCAGCAAGATGCAAAGGGACCCAAGAATGCTGCGCTCAGTTTTGGCCAGAGGGGACAGATGTGCGACCTCGGTAATAAGAGAAGAACAATGAGTTCCACTCAGATGTTCTGAGCGTGAGCGACCGGCGGGTCCCCACGTGACGATATCTATGAGACAGTCGGTGTGTACATGGGTCTCGAGCTCTGGGGAGGAGCCAGCAGATTTCAGGACCATCAGCACACAGATGTTCAAGCGAGGGACTGCCTCCCAGGGAGGGAGCACAGATTGTGGAAAACAACTAAATTAAGCCATCCCACCATCTGTGTGCAGAAGAGAAGGCCATCTAGAAAGCTCTCATCAGCTCAGGCCACCAGAACCAAGCACCACAGACATTTCTCTTTTCACCATCCTTGGGGCCACAGGGTCTGAGGCCGAGCTGCACCCATCTGCATGTGGCTGGCCCTTTGCACCTGACTGTGCCCTCATCTCCTCAGAAGGGCACCGGTCACGCTGGATCAGGGCCCACCCAACAGCCCCACGGTCATGGCATCACCTTTCTGAGTGACCCACTTCCAGATACAGTTACGTTCGGAGGCACTGGAGCTTTGGGCTACAAGATGTGAATTTGGGGGGGGGGGTAATTCAGCCCCTAACAAAGGAGGACCCCTGGGAGGAGTATCTGTGTATGTGTATGTGTATGTGTATGTGTGCTGCCAACGTGAGCACAGGATTATAGAGAGTCAGGAAAAGCTGAGCATCCGGGAAGCCCCCAGGTGGGGTGGAGTGGGATCGGGGGCTGATGCAGGTATCACAGGGATGGACGTAGGGACTGATGGCACCCCTCTCCAGGAGACTTGGATCCCATGCGCTGGTTCTTGGGGGCCCCCAATGGGCTGCCTGCACCCTCTAGACGGGCCTCTCCTCAACTCCTTCTACTCCTATCCAGGTTCCCAAGGGCTCTGGGGCACCCACATTCCAACTCTGCACCACGAGTGCTCTGGGAACCCAGACAGCACGGTACCTGCAAGATGGGCCATGAGGGCCACGGGGCAGACGGCCGGCCTTGGCCGTGCAAACCAATGCATTTCCAAGAGGGTTGGACAGTGGTGCTGCCTGAGGGGAAGCGGGAAAGGGAGCAAGGCCGGGAGTGGGGTTTAGGGCACACAAAGGAGACACACTAGCTGCAGGGGAGTGAGCCCGGGAGGAACTGGGGGGTCCAGGTCACCCAGGCCTCTTGTCTGAGTGACACGGAGGCTGGAGAGGCATGTCACAAAATGGAGGGCACATGGAGGAGGAGGGGATCTCAAGGGAAAATCCAAGTTCCACTCATACATGTTCTGTCGCCTACATGGGGAAAGCTAGCGGCAGCTGGGAGCCGAGGGGGGCTATGCGGTCACAGGAGGGACCGGGAGTGCACAAGGAGGGCTCCCCTATCACTGGGGTCACAAGGGCTGGTCCCACCTCCCTATAAACAGAATAAGAAGTCATCGGTGACCCCTCTGTGATAGTCCACTCCGGTATCCTTGTTTCACCAGCACAAAGTCTACGGCCAGAAAGCAACGCAGCTGTCTCAAGATCGGCTGAAGACCGAAGGCATGGAGCACCCTGGGTTAGGACAGGAGACAGCGCTTGTGCCCGTTCCACGGAGCTCTGTGAGACATACCCTCGGGCCGGCTCCCCGCACGGGCCATCGGGGATGGGCTGCCTGGGGCGCGCTCCCGCCCTTCAGCCTGGCCCCGCAGGCGCTCGTGGGCACAGCTCCAGGCTCGGGTGTGCATACAGAGCCCAGTTATCCGCTGGCTCTCTTAAATGCCATCCTTTGGCTAAAAGGGAGCTCCCCCTTCATTGCGTGGGGGGTGGCCCTAGGGTTCCCTGCTCAGGAGCGAAGGAAGAGCCAGTGTGACGGAAGAGCCAGTGTGGGGCAGACCCTCGCCGGTGGGGTGACGGCGTCCTCAGGGAGGAGACGGATCTAGGGCGGAGGTCATGGACCTCCACCCCTGACGCCGGATGCCAACGCCGGACCCTGGGCCAGCACCAGAGACAGTGACCGTGTCTAAGTGACGGTGTTTAAGGGACGGGCGAGGGGCAGAGGAAGCGCAGACACGTGAGCATCTCCTGCTCCCATGGAGCAGTCTGCGTGGGGTGGGGGGGCGGGCAAGCTGGACATCTCTGGCACCCTGCAGCCAGAGCCTCCCAGACCTCCCTGAGACTGCTGCCTCCTGTTCGCAAGACCACTGTGTCCGCACGAGACCCTGTGACACCGGATAAACGAAGTGACGTCACTCAGACAGAATGGAATTGTGCGAAACTTTTACGTGACAGACCCTTCTGCTCAGGGCAGGACACTTTGTGGGAAAACTCACGGCAGGGTTCTAGGTAGAATGTATTTGGACGTGATGTTTTTAGTCCCACAAAAATACGAGAGCAGCCTACGAGGAACACAAGGACTCATGCTAAAATTCTCCAAAAAATTCTCCTAAGACGATGTTATCTAACTTCGCATCTAAAATTGGGAAAGCGAAGACACAGGGACTTTGTAACGTCAGCAGAGGACACACAGTGATCGAACACCACCCCTAGAAATGGGGAGTCACTGCGGCGCAGTCACTGGAGGACCCGACAGCCCTGCCGGGTGCCTCAGCAGCTCCGCCACGCGGGCCCTAGAGACAGGGAGTCAGGGCACTTCCGGGGCCTCTGCCCCAAGACCGGCTCTTCCAACCCCTCCCTGGGCGGCCCCACCTGCCTCAACCAGCCACACAGGGGTGGTGAGCCTGAGGGCAGATGGGGGCTGGCCTCTCATGCCATCTCCGACTGCTCTGCTTCACCCCTGCTCTGTCCCCTCAGACAATCACCCCATGGTTCTACCCCCAACCCTCCCACTTCCCTCTGTCTCCCCCCATCTGTCCCCCTCTGCCTGTCTCCCTCCTGCCTGACTGCCCCCCGCCCGACTCTCCCCCTGCCTGACTGTCCCTCCTCTGCCTATCTCCCCCCCTGCCTGGCTGACTGTCCCCCCTCTGCCTGACTGTCCCTCTTCTGCCTGCCTCCCCCTGTCTGGTTGTCCCCCCTCTGCCCTGTCCCCCACTCCCACAGCCAGCTCCTCCTCATCACTGTGAACATTATCCAAAGGAAACCTCATTTAAAATGGCATCGGGGGGTCAGCAGGGAGACCTCAGCTGTCCTCAGGTCAGACCCAACAGGGACCCACATGGGGATACTACTTTAGCTATTCCTTTGCTTCCTCAGCAGGAGGAAGGATGGTTTCCTCCTCCCCACTCCCCCAGGAGCAGCCCAACCACGGACAGATGCTCACAACTCAGCCAGGGAGAAGCCACGACATTTGGGGCTCGCAGTGTATTCCAAAGGACTTCTGATGTTTGTAACAGCCTTCCCTACGGCTGCCTTTCTTCTATCAAAGGGACTTGCTCTCCTTTGTTCTCCAGACCTGCCTATGGTTTGGCTGTAGCTTGCTTGTCCCAAGTGGCATTCCTACGCTATTCCCCAGTACACCCGTTTTTGCCAGTAGAGCCGCTGGGAATTTTACTTTTAGGGCTAGTGTCACTCAGCACTCTGCCATGGGCACCACCTCCAACGGCCCTTCCCGGCCAGGCCCTCCTAACCCATCTCCTCTCCCGCTGACTCCTGGCACCGGTTATCCCTGTCCCTGCACGGAATGCGGGTCCCGCAAGACAGGGACACATCAATCTTATCCCCTGGAGTACTTCCAGCCCCAGAAGAGGGCCTGGCACGCGGCGGGAGATGGACGCGTGTTCCATGAACATGAATGCACGGGCCCTGCGGAAACCCCGCTGGCCGCCTAGACACTCCCGGGGAGGGACTTTTTCCATTCTCTCTGTCCCCCCTTCCTGGGACTACCTTGCTTACCCCAAGGCCACTAGAGAAAGATCCGCATTAAGGGCCACGCAAGGATTAAGCCACCCAGAGGCTCACCATCAAAGCCGTGGGTCAGGCGTGGGGAAGCCAGTCTGACCTTAAGGAGCTCTCACGTGCGAATCACGATGCATACTTACTGCCACTTCGGGCCAGGGCTACCCTGAGGGTACCCTGCAACCTAACCCTTCGGTACCCTTAGGGCTACGGTAAGCATGATCTTAGACCAAGAAAGTCAGGTGGGACCCATGCCGACCAGGTCTGCTTTTCCACACAGCGTGTCTCCAAGCCCCTGGCGCACCGGGTCTCTCTCCCGGAGATCAAAGTTCCAGGTGAGTCACCTCCTACCTGTGTCCGATGCCAGATGACAGACGCCCTGGAATGGCCCAGCTTATTCCGGCAGGGTCCTTTATCGTAATGGATCAGGAGGAAATCATCCTGCGAAGACAAGAGAGAGCGAGAGAGCGGGGCTGATGGCAGGTTCCCCTCGGAACCGTGAGCGAGTCCTGCCGGGGCCGAGTTTCTTTCTTTAGTTCCAAAGCAAGTGGGGGTCTGAGAGGGAGTGGGTGGCCGAGGAAGGACATGCACCCGCGGTGCTGGGCGGCCCGGTGGGATCTCGGTGCTCCATGGTCGGGGGAGCATCCCCGGAGGGACGCGGCTGTGGGCACTAGAGGGAGCCCTGCCCCAGATTTCTGCCTCCTGCCATTGCAGACACATAATCTCTGGGATGCGGGGCTTATGAACAAGTAGGTCACAGGCTTCTGCTACCCCAGGAGCGGCTCGGGGGCCCTGGCTGTGTTTGATTCCACGGGAGCACGTCGGCCTTCACATCGTCCTGCTGCCTGCCCGCCCGCCCGCCCTCAGGATTACCCCTGGATGAGAGGATTCCCTTGATCTCTGGCTCGTCCTCCTCCATTACCGTGGGGCTTGTCACCTGCGAAGTGCCTCTTCCTTTCAGCTCAGACCACGAAAGCGGACTCATTACTTAGCAACAACTGGGTCGGCAACCATCTGCCACCTACGGGCCGTCCGCCGGTCTGGAGTGAGTTCTGACTCACTGAGACATCCTGTTCCTGCTGCTCCCCACGCCCCCGGGGCTCTCTCCTCCCATCCAATCTCCAGCCGTCCTCAGGCTCTAGGAGTTGGGGCCCCCAACTGAGGACAAGCTTGAACTATGTGCCCGCCTCCGTGCGTGGCACCCCAACCCTGAGCAAGCACCAGCTGAGCCTGCGGAACGGGTTTTCTACCCAAGCCCTCTGCTCCCCGCCCTCCGAACAGGAAGTACCATTTTCTCTCCCGTTAAACAAAGACACAGCTCCATAAACGGTACCCAGGAGGGGCTGACGGCTGTTTACTCACTCAACCAACGGTGTAAACAGACAGCCTCATCCTGAGAAAGGGGTAAATAAGGGAACAGGCCCAGTGTTACTGAGGGCGGGGAAGTCACTCTTCCGAAAGTCCTGGGCTGCCGCGCGTACAGCCTGGGGTCTGGCCCTTAAAAATCAGCCTGGCTTGAACCAGACTGGGGGACTGCGTTCAGCAAACCTGGCTCCCCTCTGGAGAATGGCGCCGGCCTGGAGTCTGTGGACCATCCAGGGCCTCCTCCTGGTGCCAGGCTGCACCGTGTGCATCACAGAGCACTGGTCTCTCTGGGGTCGCAGCGGGAAGCCTTTGTAGGATGCTGGAAGGCCCAGCCTGCCACCACCTGCCTCCCCGCCCTTCCCTGAGTCCTTTCGACGGTGGGAGGAAGCCTGGGCATAAATGAAGAGGAAGCCTCTTCCAGCCCGAGCTTCATTGTCTCTAAAACAATTTTTGACATCTGTCCACTGTGAACCTCGCTTCCTTGAATTTCTAATTAAGATTTTATTTATTTATCTATCTATCTAGAGAACATGTAAGTCAGGGGGAGGGGCAGACGGAGGGGGAGGCTCTCCAACAGATGCCCCGCTAAGCGCGGAGCCCCAACAGTTGAGCTCTACCCTGAGATCATGGCCTTGAGCAGAAGCCAAGAGTCAGTCGCTTAACTGAGCCTAACTGAGCCGCCCAGGCGCCCCTCCTTGAATTCTCAGTTCTGCTTTCCCTTCTGCTGACGTCATCATACGCGGAGATTAGCTCAATCTCCGTGCCTGGGTCTTGTGTTCCCAGACTGCCTATGACAAAGTTTCGCACTGTAGGCGAACAGATAGCTTCTGAGTTCGTTTTCTGAAACAAACCCGAAATGTGTCCGGGCGACCCCAGCTTCTCCTGATCAGGGGCGCTGCAGCTCTGAGTCCCGGGGGCTGAACGGAAGCACGTTCAAATGGTACCTTCCACTCTAAGATGCTTTTTTACAAAATATACATGATTTCCTCGTGACTTGAAGTTTATTGGCAAAGGCCTTGGGAAGAACAGCCCCCGGGCCCTGCCAGGAATCCGGATGTATTTCTGCACGGGACTGTTTGTCTTGACTACTGTTCAGGGAGGTCCCATTAAGCCCCCGGCTGGAAACGGGAACAATGGAACGCAGCAGAAAGCTGCCATCACAGAGATCTTCAAAGATAAAAATAAATCCCCTCGGGCCTTTTGTGTCAAACTCTGGCCGCTGCTGCTGTAACCCCAAACTGTGGTATTTTTCAGAGACTGAAAGATGAAAGAGTGGATGCGGGTTCGTTCCTCACTCCTCCGGTGCCTTTGGGAAAGGCTGTTAAATCTTCCTGGGTTGCCCTTGGGAAAGGAAATACCTCCCACTCTCACCGAAAGAACGCACGGATCAAATATGATGGGTGTGTAGAGCCAATCGCACAGGGTGGGCACTGAACAATTACCCTAACAAAGATGATCTATGTACTCCCCAAAAAAACAGAAGAAAGTGCGAGTGTCCCTTGCTGGGAGGGCATCCCAGAGGGGATGCGGGGGAGCACTAAGGGCGGACCCTTGAGGACCCGGGACAGGCACAGGCCAGGGAACGAGGCACATGCTGGAAGGAAGCAGCCACACAGGTTCTAGACCCCCTGCCAAGTGGACACCAGCAAGCGAAAGACAAGTGACGCACGTTCCTGTGTTAGAAGCCCGGCCGGCCTCCAGCCAGGCGTTCGCACTTGTCTTAAATCACGGTGATGGCCCTCGGTGAACCGCTCCACAGCAGACTCCCTTTCCCTGATAATCTGCGTTCTAAGGCCCCAGGGTCATTTCTCAGCAGCTCTTTGTTTATAAACAGGAAGTGCTTGGCCTTGAGGATGGATGACTTTCACGGTGGAAAAGGGCAAGGCGGCGCCGGGGTCCTTAGTTCAGGCAGAGTCGGGATGGAGGGGCTTCAGAACTCAGACAGACAGACAGACAGGGTTCTTCTCCAGGGACCAGAGCAGGGTCTACAGCCTTGTGCTCCGTGAAGACCGCTCCCATTCCTGTAGCTTCATTAAAGCAGGGCAGTGATCACGCCCGGAAGTACACCTCCTGCTTCTGTCAGCCTGGGTCCAAGACTTCCCCCCAAAAAGTCTTCAAGGAGACTGGGTAACACAGAGTAAAATGGACATTTCCCTTCCACTCCCCTTTAGGAAAAGTCATAAGGAGTGGCAAACCGCAGACCAGACACTAGATGATACATCCTAATTTAAAAATCAGTTTTCCCCCTAAAATTGGAACATGGTACAATACAAAACTATATATAGAAAGACCATACACACACACACACACACACACACACATATTATCTCATATATATACTGTATACATATGTAGTACACAGATCCGAAAACTTCGAGGCCCTAAGGACTTTGGAGTGCTTGAGACAGGCTTCTAGACGTCTCTTCCCACCACACAAGGTCACAGAACACACTTGCTTGGATCTAAGATAAAGAACATTAATCTTGCCAAGCTGATTTCTTAAACTTGACCTTGGGTAAGATAATGAAGCCTCCAGGATAGCAAAAGGGTGTTATCTTCCCAAGATTTGTTGAGCTACACACAGTGCTACTGTCCCTTTAGTAATTTATAGTTAATAAAGGAAAAACAGACTTCTCAAAATAAACCCAAAAGAAGCGATCTAGCTAACACCTTTAAAGGTGGCCTTTATGTTACAGACCTGTTACCTTCTTTAAGATTCCATCTCAAACAGGCATTTACTTTCTTCCTGATAATCTGTAGACCCATCCGGAAGACAACAGGCAAAGTTTCAAAGTTATTCCACTCGACCCACCATTAGGGATCCTTCTTCCTTCACCTTGGGAGCCCTGAGATGGTGGCCCCTTCCTGTGCCTCAGGAGCTAAGCTGACTGCTCTGATGTGGGCCCTAGGAGGTACACTTCCCCTGAAAAATGCTTTGATGTCACAGAGGGAGGGAAGCAGGGGCAGGCTGTGGACAAATTCCTAAAAAGGTGAAGCAGGCATCTGTGGCAACCCTCCTTTATTTCAGTTATATCTTAATGGCTTAATACTATTTTTGGAAGAGCTGGACAGAGTTGTCCTGCTGTATAGGACAGACATATATAAATACATAGGACACATGACTTGATGTGTTTTCACAGTCACTAAGCACAGTCATTTTAACAGATGACTATATCTGCTACTTAACTGTGGTTTTAAAAACCTATGTACAGGGGCACCTGGGTGGTGCAGTCGGTTAAGCGTCTGACTCTTAGGTTTTGCCTCAGGTCATGATCTCAGGGTTGTGAGATGGAGCCTGGTGCCAGGTTCACACGGAGCATGGAGCCTGCTTAAGATTCTTTCTCCCTCTCCCTCTCCCTCTGCCCCTCCCCACTGCATGCATTCTCTCTTTTTACACTAAATAAGTAAGTCTTAAAAACAAAAACAAAAACAAAAACCTAGGTACAAATAAACTCTTGTAAAACTAAAGTCAGAATGTCATCACTTTGGCAAAATGTCCGTTTTCCTAATAGGGGTGAGGAAGGAGAATATGGCACTGAAAAGAAGTGTTCTTTGCATCTGGCCTTGAAACTCCAGAAAAAACAAAAACAAAACAACAACAAAAAAAAAAACAAAGGTGCTTCAGGAGGGGAGAGCCAGGCACTCCCAGCAGGAAGTGCAGAGATACTGGCGTACAGAGTGTTTTGGAAGCACTCAGCACAGGGCACGCTTGCAAGGAGGTGGCCATATGAGGCTGGGAACTTCCATTCTGCCAGATGGCTCAGAGTGTGTGTTTTTCTGTCGTGAAGGTGACAGAAGGTCAGCAAAGTAACTGTGCCCCCACCACCCCATTTCCCTGTCCCCTGCCTCTGTTTATCCTTCCTAGTGCACTGACAGCCCCTGCTGTGCTCCCTGCTGTGCACTACACATTTGCATCCCCCCAGACTCCTAAGTTGAAGCCAAGTCCCCCTTGTCCCATGTGATGCTATCTAAAGTGGGATCTTTGGGAGGTGATTAGGCTCAAATGAGGTAATGAGATGGGCAGACGCCCCATGATGGGATTAGTGCCCCTGTACAATGAGGGCAAGACACCCACCTCTCTCTCTGCCACATGAGGACATAGTGAGAAAGTGGCCATCTGTAAACCAAGAGAAAGCTTCTCTTGTCTCTCTTGGCACTGGGTCAGATGCCAAGAACCGAATCTGCTCGGATCCTAATCTTGGGCTACCCAGCTCTGGAGCATGAGCAATAAATGTCTTGTTTCAGCTCCCAGTCTCTGGCGTTCTGTGACAGCAGGTGGAACCAAGACCGTCCCCACAGACCAAACCTGAGGCCTGAAGACCCCATCCACCTGGGCTGAATCCCAAGCCCGAGCTGACCTGTTTCCCAGAACTCCTCCTACCACTGCACTGATGAATCCATATTTTCATAAGCACAGAGAAACATCCGATGATGTTACTTCTGTTTCCCAGACGCATTCCCGAAGCTCTTTAGGAAATGGCTGGTGTGTTCTCCCCTCCCAGGCAGAAGCTCAAAGTCAAGCTCACGGCTGTACTCACGTCCAGAGACTCGAGGCAGTACCAGCAGAAGGCGTGTTTGCAGTTCTTACACATCATCTGGGCGCACCCCTCATCCCGCTCGATGTAGACCTTGCACTTGGGACAGCGTTTGATGGGTGCGTCGTCCTCCTCCAGTTTGAAAGCAGAGCTGCGGGGGGAGAGTCCATCAGTGGGAGGCTCGGCAGGGCTGGGTGGGGTGGGGTGGGAGGGTACAGTCAGGATGGCGAGGCTGCAACCATTAGTGCGACTATAGGGGGCCAAGGCTGCTTGTTATTAAATGTTATAAAATGAAACTAAGACTCCGTAAAACATTCACCAAAAAACCATGTGGATCAGCTAGTTGGATTTAAAAGCAATATCAGTATGTACTCAGGTTTAGATATGTGTAGACAAAATAAATTATGGCAGAGGTTTATAAAGAAGGTGTCCGTGTCATGGGATGATGGTCAAATTTTATGTCTTTATTCATATATTTGTCTAATTTCCAAAGGATCGATGAGAATTTTTATGTACTTTGCTGTTATCAGGAAAAAAATAATAAATGTTAAAAATCCGTGCTCATTGATGAGTTAGATCTACTGGGACTGTCTTTACAGAGTCGCTTTCCTGAGAAGTCTGGTGAGGTCCACAGTGGTTGGCGTGACGGGCTATAAGCCCGGCATCACGGCTGGCGTGACACAGACTGGCTGTAACAGCCGCACCGGGCCTCGGGCCTCTCAGTGTGGGCATGCTGGAGCAAAACATGTGACAGGAACACACTGTCACATCGAGCATGGGTGACCTTGGCCATAAACGACATCCATCACTCTATGTTGCTAATAAAGAGAGGACAGAGACATTTTGGTGTGACCCCAGAAGAATGTTCATCCCATGCCATTAAATTTAAAGAGAAAGCTAAAAAAATGTGCATGGAAATGTCTGGAAGAAAGAGTGGTCAGCTGCTACAAGCAGGTATCACCTACTCTGAGAACGCATTTGTTGTATTATTTGAACTCACTGTATCAGTCCAACATCCGCAGGAGAAAAACAATCTCCCACTGGAGAGAGCAGCCTTCTAGAACCTAATGCATTCTGGAGCATACGCTCACGGACAGGAGCAGATTCTGGCATTTGGAGTACATTCTGGAGGAAGGACCTTCCACAAGCATCATAGTAAACATAATGATTAAAATCGTTTGCCTATAGTATGAGCTATCGGATAATTAGCAGGGCCTCCTCCTCAGTGAGGCGTGGGATCCCACTGAATGTGGTTCTGTGCTGGTCACTAGCAGGTGGTGACCAGTGGGGACATCCCCGAAGGAGGCAGCGTGTCCTCACCGTGAGGAGCACGGGGTCTAGAGACAGGTCCTGACCATGTGGCTCGGGTACCAGCAGCGTGAGTGTGCCCGTCCCCTGCTCCAAGCGAGGCTATCGGCATCCACCTCAGGGTGCAGCGAGGCCGGAAAGGGTTTCTGTGCACGTGGTACACACACCCAGAGCCTGGCGGGCCGGCAGTAAGCACTCAGTAAGCAGCAGCTGTTATTCTAGTCCCCCTGAAAGGTAACAGTCTCTCCTGCTCTGATTCTTGTCCAATGTGAAGACAAAACACACAGCAACCAGGCTGCACAGGACGGGACTCGAACTGAGCCAGGGTGGTCACACTCAAGGGCCTCCAGCGGGCCCAGGGAACACAGCTCTGCGCAAACACGAGCTGTGCCCTCCGGATTGCTGCACCGTGCCCAACAGTCACGGGCACCAAACCCAGCGACCGAGGCTGCCCATCGGGTTAGATAACACTGCTTCGGTCTGAAAGCCAGTTGTGACCTTAGAGTAATGGAACTAATTTCCTCATGTGATTCATAAGCTCATTTGGAGGGAAATTCCATGAACGGGGACAACGTTATCAGCGGAGAATGAAGACTATGTCTCAGGGAGACTTTTAAATGGGAACAGTTGAAATATGTAAGCTCCGGTGTGGCGCGGCATGCCTAGAAATTCACATGGAATGGACGATGGTTTCCAAACACCTCCAGGCACCTGAATTACATTTCAAATTATTATTAATAACAACCGTTACTATTATAAACTCAAATTTATGAAAATAGATGGGCATCTTCGACCGCTTCCTCGCCATCTGCCCAGGGCAGACACACCACAGTCTTCGGAGCTGGTCAGGTGCTGGACGGGAACATGGGCTGAGGGAAGAAAGAACATAACGCAACCCTACTGCACGGAAAAGGAGGAAGCGGTTCATTCCAGCATCCGAGGCCGGCTGGATGCCAAGATCTGGGGTGACAAAGTCCCAGCAAGCCCAGGCCGTGAGGTGGGGAGCTCAGCTTAGTGGGGGAATCAGCTACACACGCAGGTGAGCTCCAGCAGAATGTGCCTGGCATTCCGATCAATACAGTATCTGGTGGGGGCACATAGGTGGGGTCAGCAGCCCTGCCCCGGGAATGGGGTAGCTTGACGAAGGAGGGATGTGAGCCCATCTTCACCTGTGGCGAGGGGTCTCCAGGGAAAGAGGGGGGTGGGGGGCACGCAGGCACAGGTACAAACGTGCAGACCCGGGAGAGGAAGGATGGGCCGAGAGGTTCTCCGTGCAGGTGAAGCTGTGGGCAGTGGGGGCGCGGCAGCAAACAGGGGAGAGGAAAACAGGGAGCAGCTGGTGACCACACCTTTGGATGGCCAGTGGGAGTCCCTCGATCAAGAACACAGCCTCAACAGGCACAGGGCCAACACCATATTGGGGAACCATCTGTGCTCCAGACTTTATAGGACATCAATTGCTGAATATTACCAACTGCTTAGGACTCATCCGACTTAATTTCAAGGTACATACACTGATGCTGCAGTGTCTCCCCAGGCTTCGGCCTCAGGGTCTGACCAGGGGACAAAAGGGGGGAGATACAGTCCGTTTCCCCGTCCCCCCATCTTCCCGCCGGCCCACTCTTCTAGGGAAGTGCAGCCCCTTGCTCCCCGACACCTGGAAACCTATTTTTGGTGATCCCTCTGGTATCTGCAACCACTGACCACCTACCCTTGTCACTGTGCCCCCGTCTCAGATCACCTTCCACACGGTGGGGTCTTGGACAACTTTAGGTACCACAGGACTTCAAACTCCTCACGGTAATAAACTGTCCGTACGTTTGTCCTTCCAGACAGGCTGCGTGTGTCTGCTTCCTGGGCAGACAGTGCCAGCTTACAGTGCCACTGCTTTGCACGGTACCTGACACATAATCAGTTCTCAAAAATAATCAACCCACCCGCCCACCCACCCAGGTTTATTAAACGAGGCTCAAGAGGAAGAGACTGATCCAGAAGCAGTCATGTCTTCTGGAGCCCCATTCAAAGAGATGTGGCTTCCTTCTCTCCCTTCTCCCCAGCCCTCTGCCACTCTCCCTCAGCCCTCTCCCACTGTAACTGGGCAGAGGGTACCTGGTCTCTCCGGGAAGGAAGGTGATCGGCATGGTCTCCGGGCAGCCTTGGCCAGGGTGCCAGCTGGCTTTGCAGGCAGAGCAGAATTCCATGGCACAGGCTTTGCACTGCACCAGCTGTGGGTTCTGCAGGCCCATGTCCTGGAGCTGGCACACAGCCTGGCAGGTGGACGCCGGGCACCATGTCCGACAGGGGTCCAGGAGCACTTCTGGCACAGGGAGACAAAAATGGGCAAGTCAACATCTGCACACGGAGGCTCTCGGGGGTGTTCGGACTGAGGGATCACAGCAGCGTGTGGCTTCACATTTTTAATAGGGAGGGAATGTCCAGACCCTGCAGTCTTTCTATGTCCTTCATGACCCGGTGCCTGTCTGGCTCTTGGTCCGCCCCTCCAGACGCTTCCCACTTCCAACCCCTCCCAAAACACACCCGGAGGCCTTTAGTAATGCTGCTGCCCGCGGCTCCTGGGAAGCACCGCCCACACATACACACACACACCAGTGGTTGGTCTGGGTTCTCTCTGAGTGCTCACAGGCCACGGTCCACTTCCTGGTCCACCTCCCCAGGATGCAGCTTCCCAAAGTCAGGCCTGCATCTTTGGTTTTGCGGCCTCACAGCCTGGCCCAGTGCAAGGTGTGAAGCGGGTCCTTGGACAGCGTTTGGTAAGGAGCACAGAAAGAAAGGAGGGAAGGAACATGGCCGAATTCTTCTCATTAAAGGGCTCATTTGCCTAAGGCTGTCCCTTCTCCCAAATTTAAATCTAAGCCATGAACTACTGTGTGAAATGGCCAGGTTGCCTCTCCAACTAGAGACCAAGATGTTAAGAAGCCCCATTACAGTGACAGATTTTATTCTGAAAAGCAGGAGACCCTCCTGCTTCCACTCCCAATCGGGCCTGAGCTACCCTTCCTCGCGAACATGGGTAATTGTTTCATTCACAGCCTGTCGGGGTAACGCCAAATCCTCAGGGAGGGGCAGTGGCAGTGAGGACCTGACAGGAAACCACACAGAACGCTGAGGCTTTGCCAAAAACCTATCACAGGCTGGAGGGCTATTTTCAAAGGCCTTCAAGTAGGCCACTGGTTTCTAAGCTTTCCAGCCACGGCTCTGGGGAAGTAACTGGAGACCACTGGGATCTGCCAGGGACACTTGGAAGGCGATGAAAGGACTTGGGAGCTTCCTGGCCGTGTGACTGACCGACAGCCAGGGGTGGGTTAAGTTCACCTGCATCGCAGACAGGACGTGCACACACTGGGACCTACAGCCGCCTGGGGGCTGGACAGGGCTGGAAACGCGCCCAGACCTCACCTACACGGGCTGCCACAGGACACGCGTAGGTGTGCCATGTTCCCCAATTAAACGAGAAGCCGGATTCAGCCCTCTAGGAATAAGCTGTGTCAGGTACAACCCTGAAAACGGTCTTCTATTCCAGGAATGAGCAAACATTCTCTGCAAAGGAGCAGACAGTGAGTGTATTTTAGTCTTTGAGAGTCGTGTGGTCTGTCTCCAATGACTCCACTCCGCTACTGTAGCCAAAAGCAGCCATGCTGATCCGCAAATGGCTATTCCAATAAAACTTTATTTACAACGCCAGGCTGTGGGCCGGGCCACTCTGGGCCACTGGTCACGGCTGGCCCACTCCCGCGCTAACCTAACTCCTCCCCTGACCTGTTATTTGGAAGGGAGAATTAATTAATGGCAGGAAGCTATCCAGTTGGTAGGTCTAGGGAGGATATAGTAGAACCTGCTAATATAAAGGGACTCTGGAATCCAGGAAAATATGCTACATTTTAGCTGAACTTCATTACAGTAATGTAAACTCTTCATGAGGTTCCTAATGGTGAGTGAATGAGGAGGATTAGCTCTTGCCATCAGTGGCTTTTCTAGAAATGTCTGTGGCCATGAGATCGGGGTGGGGGGTGGCTCTGTGGGACAACGTAGTGGTCACCTCTGAGGCATATGTGTGGGGGAGCTCCCCTGAGCTGAGGGGACAAGAAGAAGGAGGAGGGAGAGTAGCCCCCCATGGAGGTCCCCACCCCGGGGAATGAAGGCGAGGCAGGTGACCCCTCCCCTCCCCGACCCTCCTCTCCCCAGTCTCATTGAGCTCCTCTTGACGGTCCCCACACGGCTCCCTATCTTTGGTGCTAGTGAGTAGTCTGGAGGGGGCAGCTCCACCCCAGCTAGATTCTGGGGCCCCCTATGAGCACAGCACCTGCAGCAGGGCAATGCAGGTCACTTAGCACACCAACCACCGCAGGGCACATGGGGAGAGCGCCTGCTCTGCTCTCTTCCCACTGGGACCCTGTGGTTAGTGGTGGTCCGTCTGGGAGTGTCAGTGAGCCTGCTGCCCTCCCACAGACCCTGCGGGTTCCCTTGGCTCTCGGCCCCGCCTTTGCTGTGAGGGGTCTGGAGGCGTCAGGGCGGGCTGCAGGCCCTCACACACCTCGAGGCTGTGCCCAACCTCCCAGTTACTCTCCTCGCACAACAAATGCAGCTACTAGGCGGCCTCATCGTCAGAGACTCAATTATACAACGGAGCAGAGGCCAAGGAGACCTAGTGAAGGTTTCCATGGTAATGGCTTCAGTTGTGTGACTTGTGTCCTCATGGAGCTGTGAAAGGAACTGCCTGTTTCTGGGGAAAGATTCCCTATCGGAGAGGTAAAGGGCAAAGAGTCTGTCCCAGCCTGCCGAAGGCAAACACCCTTCCTGTGCTTCCAGGACCCCTCAAACCCTGCAAATACGGCCCCGGGGCTCCTCTCATGGGCTGGCACCAACACTCCCATCACCGTGCCGAGTTCTGCCAGCCGGTGTACAAGACAGGAATCGATCAGGAAGAAAATCCACACTGGGAAAAGACGGCTCTTCTTTTGGGGAAGCATGTCAGAACTGACATCTAAGGCTATGGATCGCATATATAACTAATACTATACATGAGGCACACTATATCTCTGATACATCGTATCTAATGTTTTACACACACGTCTGTGCACAGCACAGGCTTTCAAGCAAGACCAGTGGCCTATTTTCTTGCATAGCAGAAGAAAATATTCTCAGCTCCCACCTCCCAAAGACACATTAACCCTAGATAAAGGAAGCAGATCCCCAGTAGCTCTGCTTATAAAAAAGCCCAAGACTTTTTTAAAAAGGTGCTTTTCTTTTTAAACATGGTGTTCTTGGGGAAGCATGCAAGGAGAGTCAGGGTTCCGGCTTTCTCCACGCGCCTGTCCAGGCTCGTGCTCCAGCCACACCCCTGCAGCAGCACATCCCATCCTGTGGGGAGTCCTTGGCCCCGGTCAGGTCTGCCTACTGATGGATCAGCTCATCAAGTGGGCTCATCTGTCTGGGCTTTACTCTGGCGGAAAGCACCAACGCCACACAGGACAAGACCTGACTTCGGCATTCATCGGACCTGCTGTCCCAAGGATAAAGAATCCAGGAGGTCACAGATACTGCCCCTGGATGGCAAGAACTTCAGGAGCGAGGAACGGGGAGAGAAACACCTGCCTTCTGACTCAGTGGCTTAGCCAGAAGCATGGGTGTAGCGCAGTGGGGTGTGCAAGGGGGGTAGCCCCCTGCAGCAGCGGCCCCCATCAGCCTCTGGAGTCTCCCACACGGATAAGTGGGCAGTCAGAAAGAAAAACAAGCCCACAGTCTCCTTGGCAAAGATCCCAACTGGAGGAGTGGGGGAGGAGATGAAAATCAAGCTTGCTATGCCTAAAACTAGCATAGCATTGTGTCAGCTGTACTTGCACTTTAATGAAAGAGCAAAGCTGGTGTGTGAGAGGAGACGTTCTAAGACACAACAGAGACAACGCTTACAACTTAGACTGATTAGGAACGAGGTGCTGTCAGAGGACCAGGGAGCTGGGTCCTCCTCCTGGGCGTCCTCCCCGAATGCATTTCAAAATGACAGACGAGGCCAGAAACTCCCCTTCCGATCATATCTCAAAACTTGTTCGCCGTCCTAGCTAGAAGCAATTGCGTCATGTGAGCTCCAACATTTTAACATTTCACTCAGACAGGTCTTTGGTCACAGTAAGTCTGAGTTCATTGTGTGTTTTCACGTAATGCTAGCAAAATGTTCTCAAGTAATAGCCTTGAGAGATTTTGTTAACATAAGTCAACTTGGCTTCCTTTTTATGCAAGATTAAAAAAAAAAAATCCTTGGCTTATCCAAAGCACTTGAAATTACAAAGTATTTGAAAGTACAATGTTGAAATTATTAGGTAGGAGAGTTTATACAGCTGCATTTTTACATGAAATTCAAAGTCAGAGAAAGTTAATTTTCTTAAAACCCAAAGAACTACCAGTTTCTGTCAAGATTCTCTCTGGAAAATATTTTCAGACAAGACTGAAAGTTTCAGAAATCCAAATTAATCAATTGTATAGATCCCCACGCTGACTTCTATATCGCGTGGTGTTACATTTATTTTTTTTTATTTTTTTTACATTTAAACTATAAACCCAAACAAAATGATATATGCCATTTAAATAAACAAGCTCTTGAAAACAATTTCAATGCCATCAGAATCCTGTTTGATTAAAAAAAAATTAACTTGGCCTCCCACTGCTTTTTTTTTTCCCCCCAGAAATAAGCCCCAAGAGGAAATGCAACTACCTTTAACATTTCTTAAAGAAAGAAAGACCTCTCCACATTTGGCTAAGCTAGCAATCTCTTGATCCTTTCCTCTGCTCTATTCTTTCTTCCCATCTTGAGTGTTTTCCTGTAAACATGCAGCCCAGGACTGCCTCTCAGTAATGAGCATCTGATGCAGACGAGGCTCTCTCTGTACCAGAGCAGGAAGAGGGGAGAGCACCCTTGAACGATTACAGTCTGAGCTGAAAAGGTCAGAGTTTGGATGCACGGTAAAATCGTGCATAAGAAGCATCATCTAAACATGTCTGTTACTCTGCTCCTTTTCCGGTGAGCCCAAGGTCCAGGACACATATGAGAATGAAGCCAAAGGAAGGCACAGACTCTTTAAAACATCATTTTATGACCTTGGCACACTTCAGAGAGCCAAGCCAAAGGCCAGTCCTGGACATCCAACACATTTCAATGCTTGGCAAGGCCACCGTGGAAATGATGTCATCTCTGCTCTGCACGTGCCACTCAGTGCTCCTGGGAAACCCTGAGGTCTGTGGCAGGCCTGGCTCCTGCCAAGTGGGTGTGCAGGACACAGACCTGGTCCACACTCCACCCTACGACCCATGAGAGCTGGAAGTCTGGGCAGGTCAGTTAGCTTCTGCAGGGGCCATGTTTACAGAAGGGGGCAAGCTGGCAGGGCCATCAGAATACTTACGGAGACAAGGGACTTGGGCCCGGCGCCCACCTTTCCAAACCGGCCCCCAGGGCAAAGGGACAGACTACACTCTCTGTCAAGATGCCGATTGCCACATTTCCACCTACGGGTGGCCTCCCAACGTCCTTCTGTGCCTTTGGAGCTTTTAAATTCTGCACCGTCTAACAATTTAGTCCCGGTACTCTTAGCCCTAACCTGGCTGAGGAATAATCACGCCCCATGAGGGTCAGATCTCTTTAAACCGCCCCCTGCACCCAAATCTCCCTAACGAGGTATGTTTTAGGATTCCTTCTCATTACCATGCAGAACCCCAACAAAGACTTTCCACCTGGGAGCTCTGCAGAGAACTCAAAACGACGCAGACATTTCAGGAATCTAACTTACATGGACGCTTTCCTTCCAGCATGGCCAAACCAGGCGCAAGGCTATCCACCGGACGCGCCGCCCCCGATGCCCCCACTCTCCGCCCGGGAACCACGACCCCTACCACGCCGGGCACCTACCTCTTTCAAACTGTAGCTTTTTGTATCTTTGCATAATTTCAGCGGCAACCATGCACTCAATCTAAGAAGAGAAAGAACACAAACAAGACCTTTAGTGGCTGTGGGCTGGAACAGAGCCCGGTCCGCCTGCGCACAGCCCACCACCCCCGTGCAGCAGGGCACCCGGCCCACGTGCAAAACCCCGTCTGCTCGGGTGCTCGTGCCTCATCCTCCTGCAGGCGGCCCTGTTTAGGGCAGGCGGCATCGGGGCAGCTGATTGCGGTCTCTAGTCCTTCTTTGATCAAGAGCTCCACGTACTGTTTCAGGCACTGAAAAGAAAGAGAACAGAGAAGCGTCTTTCAACGCCTTGACCTCCTTCAGGGTGAAGACCCACTGATGCGTAACCCGGCGCGCTGTCCCGCCGCGGCTCCCTGTCTTCAATGTGCGGCCCACAGCGACCACCAAATTAGAGGTTCTGATCAATGGACAAATATTTACGGGGTGCCCCCCCCATTCCAGGCAGAACGAAGGCAGCAGGTGGGATCTGCACACACAACCTTGGCCAACACCACACCGGCGCGTCTCACGGTTTGAGGAGAAGCGGAGAAGAAGGTCAGGGTCAGACCTCAGGCATTGCACCCAGTTCTTCCTACTCCACTGTTTCCTGCACTCCTTAGATCATTCTTACAAGAAGGGGAGGATGGTTTCACCTTTCGGGTGTGAACACTGAGTCCCCACAGAAGGGGCCTGTTAGCGGACCCCGACAGCAAGGGCAGAGAGCCCTGCGTCAAGCCCGGCCTGGCTCGACTCGGAAATGCCCCAGCAACCCCCACCATAACCTGTACATGGATGCCGACCCTCACCCCCGAACCCCACTTCCCCAGCCGTCACTGACTCCCACCGCACCCATTGAAGGATGGCTCAAAGTCTCAGCCAGACAGAAAAAGGGGGAGACACCGCAGAGTTCTATCAAGGAGGAGGAAGCCGTACACAGTGCCCGTGTGCTCCCGCCCCGTCTACGAGCCTGGGAAACCCTCGCTCCCCGGAAGAGCACAGTTAGAAGAAAGATGCGGCCTCCCCGGGTTGGCTCGCCACCGAAAGCAGCAAGAGAGACTGAAAGGTTCACAGGAGAACTGGAAGAGCACCGACACTGGGGCCACTACGTGAAGAGGAACCAGCGTCAACCATCTCAACAGCATCCCCACGTCAACTTCAATCACAGCCCCAGTCTAATATTTGGGGTTCATGACACCAACACCACTGTCACAGTAACACGATTAAGTTATCATGATCTGGAGCACCTGGGTGGCTCAGTTAAGTGTCTGCCTTTGGCTCGGGCCATGATCTCGGGGTCCTGGGCTCGAGCCCCATGTCAGGCTCCCTGCCCAGTGGGGAGCCTGCTTCTCCCTCTCCCTGTGCTGCTCCCCCTGTTTGCGCTCTCTCATGCTCTCTCTCAAATAAATAAATAAAATCTATTAAAAAAAAAACAGTGTATGTATGTATAATAATTCGATCTAAATGGGTAAGTTTCACCCTTCTGGCACATCAGAATGTTTCACCACTGGAGACAGGAAGCAGCTGTGTTGGCAATCCTCAGAAAGAGCCATTTCCCCCAGAATGCAAGGCTTCATGCGTCAGCAGCAAGACGGGTGCCCAGAGCCCAGCCCAAGGTCAGCTTGCACTCCTCAGCCCTGCCTGGGCAGCCCGTGAGTGCAGAGGCTCCATGAACTTCCATAATGCCCAGACCTCTGACATCTCCCAGGGCGATGGTTATGGAGAGCTCCCAGAGGCCCGGGTTTGTGGTCTTAGAGGTACGCCATCAAAACCCACACCAGGAGGAGGCCGGGCAGCAGAGGAGGGGGCTTTCCACAGAGCTGCAGGCAGGCCTGGCCCCCATCCCCCACTCTGGCTGTGAGCGCCACAGCAGCTGTCTCGGGGAGACAGCCACGCTATGGAGTGGTGGCCTGCGACCCTTGTGACTATGTTGTGTTTCCAGTCGGGAGCGACCTGGAGTGTATCAGGAATGGCTAGGTGACTGTGAGGCGGGAGGAAGACCACAGGCTTTGGAGCTAGACAGACTCATGGAAGTGCTATAGGCAGAGGCCACAGAAGGGCTCCCTAATGAGTTCAGGCCACAGCTCCCTTGACCATAAAACAGGGATGGCCAACTTGCTGGGCTTCTGCGATTGTAAGAAAGAACATAAAAGCACCCAGCACAACTTCCATGACCATAGCGACTGTTGGCGCCTCTAGTGTGTCTGTCTGCATGGTAGGATTCCTAGAGTCAGACGCATAAAAATCTACAGGAACCTTAGCCACAAGATGATGATTTTACTTTTTCTCATCAGTTTGCCTATCTGGGATCTCTGGAGAACGGTCCAATGCCCTCAACTCTCCCAGGGCCATGCACCACAGCACGCTCTGGGCTCCCCGAGAAGCACACCACCTAACGCCCGTGGGAAACTGCACGAGGGCATCTCAACGCCCTTGAACCTCACTGCTCAGAATGGGTCTGCAGCCCAACAGTGAGCACGTCACGTCCGGCTGGACCGCTGGGAGCCTCTGCACGGTGCACAGAGAGTTCTGGGAGTGCCCGTGTGTTTACTCTGTAAGAAGATACGCGGATCCAAGCACCTGGCAGGCCCTCCCTGGAACACCAGCCCAGTCTCCTTCCAGATGTGAAGCGGTCACGACTGCAAGCCCTGTTTTTCCATCTAATCGCAAGAAGAGGTCTCAAAAGGAGGGCGAAAGAATGGGCCAAGGAACTTCTCTCAGAATAGAGATACAGTGCAAAAGCCGATGGATGGGTTTCCTGCTGTGGAGCTCTCAGGGATCCAATGGCCTCCCTGCGGCAAGAATCTTGCAAGGCCTCAGGGCTCCCAGCTTGCAGATGAGAAAACAAAGACTCAGGGAAGTGATGAATGGACCCAAAGACACTCCACAAGTGCTGGAGCCGGGCTCACTTGTGCCTGACTCCAAAGGGGGGGCGGGGTGTTTTTTGTTTTTGTTTTTAATTTCTGCCTTCTTCCTCAATGAAGAACTCTTTCATGGGCAATCATTTAGTATGAACTTCCAGCTTCCTCTTACTCTTTTTTTTTAGTAGGACATAGAATTATAGGTACTTTTTTTTTGAGTAGGTTCCACACCCAGCATGGGGCCCAATGTAGGGCTTGATCTCACGCCCTGAGACCAAGACCGGAGCTGAAATCAAGTCAGACCATTAACTGACTGAGCCACTCAGGCACCCCTGTTGTATGTACTTTAAGCTGGCGAAGTCCGAGTCGCCCTACAATGCATTTGTACACGTCCCCGATGCTCGGAGGCTATGACACCAAGCCCCCCCACCACCACTGCAGGGAAAGATGCTCCTGCAGGTCGGGATGGTGCCGTGTTCCTAACACCCTAATGGGGAGTAGGGCCCCCCAGGGGGTGGTCAGGAAGGCTTCCCAGAGGGGAAACACTGGCCAGAGGGACAAGGACATCCCAGGAAAGGGGGCATCTGCTGCACAAAGGGCAGAAGGAAGGAAGGGGAGCATCAAGAGCCACAGAATGTTCCAGGCATTTCATTTTCCATTTTGTCTTCCAACTCTTGGAACCCAGTTCCAAGAAGAGATGGCACTGCAGATTTGCTTCAGTTTCCTGTCAAGGAGAAGTGGGCCATAGAGACCCAGCGGCCTTGCCTGAGCTACAACAAGTCTCTACGCTGTTTTCTCACTGGAAGGTCTGTGGGCTGCTGCAGACCCAGAGAGCAGGAGAAAACCGCTCAGAAACTGTGCTTCAAGGAGCCGGAGTAGCTTACAATCCTCAGGGATCCACTCCTTAATGAACAGGCAAGACAAGAGATTGCAGTGGGACCCCAGCGGTGGGACCCCAGTGGTGGGACCCCAGTGGACACCATCTGAAGAACAGGGGCCCGGGAAGCACAGACCTGGGTCTGACTCCCAGCCTACTCAGCTCCCAGCTGTGCATGAGGGACCACACCTTCTGGGGCCCCATTCCACGCACTGTGGGAGGAGAGAAGCCCGCCACCACCACGCCTGTTCCAACCCCGAGGCCAACCCAAGGTGGCCACGGTCACATGCCCGGGCAGGCATTGTGCGCCTTCCGTGGGTGTCAGCATGGCAGCCCCTATGGCTATGGCTGCCCCGAATATTAGTGCACGGTGGGCCCTGCATGCAGGCCAGGACCCAGGGAACGCACACCCCTCTGCTGGCTTGTGATTATAGATGCCCAGTAAGGACGGGGAGCCCCAGACCTGGCATGAAACACTCTCTTTGAAGAGCACCAAGTCGGAAGTCCACAGGTGTGAGTTTGTCACCTGTTTGGGGTTTCTAGATTGGTTCAGCAGACAGGACCTGCTTCTGAGAGAGGGCGTGCTGGAACCGTACCAGAGGTGGCAACTCTTGGGGGGGCGGCTTCCTTCAGCACAATCAAAACAAAGAGAGAGACAAGCCAGCTATGGGCTACGTGAGGCCAGGGCTGGACGGGGGCGTGCTCGTTCAAGGAAGGCAGAGCACAGAGTGCCCATTCCCACATCAGGCCCACACGAAGCACAGCGACCCCAGGAGAAGGGCTGGCTTGACCACAGGTGTGCCCAACATTGCAGCTGGTACCGGAGAGGCAGGAGGGGGCTCGGGCCACATGCAGCAGCGGGGGGCTTCGCGTGGGAGGTGGTGGGGACTCCTCCTAGTGTGGCTGGAGTGGATTTACCCCAGCAGAGACTGCATTCAAGAACTCAGCCTCAGCCGGGTGGGGTAAACCTGAGTGGGGCAAGGAGACCAGGTAAGCGGGGCTCAGGCCAACTGTCCCCATCAGGGCAGTGTGCCGCCCTGGCTTCGGGAAGTAACAGTGACGGCAGCTCATCGGGGGAACTGGACACATCCCACCGCCTGGCCTGGAGCCAGCAGGGACTGGAAAAATCGACCATCAAAATGAGGCATCCCCCGTGGAGTCCTGCAGGGGGTCCCCGGCCCCACTGACGGAGCACAGGAGGACTGTTCTGAGAACCCGGCTGCGGCCAATAACGGGCAGGCTCTGATGAGGCGGGACGAGAGCGGGGCGCAGGGTGAGGCTGAGGGAGATCTGGAGGCGACGGTTAGGACAGTCTGAAGAGGACTCAGTCCCGCTCTGACAACCTGGGGGCTTTTCTGGGGACTCAGAGGCCTTGGCACCACTGCTCTACATGGAACGAAGAGTCTGGAGTTGAAGCTGGTCTGCTCCTGCACAGAGACCAGGGAATCCTGGACTCCCTTCTCCTGGGGCAGGGGCTGTACTCGAGGCTGGGGCAGGGGTGGGAGGAGATCCCGGAGAGAGTGTGAACTCCTCCTCTGAAAGGGGCACAAGCCCCTCCCTGGGGTGGGGGAAACACAGCCTCCTCTGTCGGGGGGCATAGCCTCCTCTGTGGGTTGCGGGGAGCAGCCTCTTCTGCAGGGCGGCGGGGGGAGGAAGCAAGCACAGCCCCCCACCCCACCACACCTGTAAGCAGCAAATGCGGACGAGGCTTGCAATCAGCTGATGTGAAAAACCAAAGTCACAGAGCAGCAAAGATGAGTCTTGAAGCAAACCTCACCTTCACTGCAAAGACCTCCCAGTGGAAGGCAAGTCAGAGGTGTTGTGTTAGAGGCAGAAACACGGAGAAGCTGTCATGTCACACACTCAACAAATACAGATTTGCTCTGCACCTAAAGTCTAGGAGCCAACACTATGGAAGGCAGAGAAGTCTCAGGGGGGACTCGTGATGATGGGAGAGTCAGTGCACTTCTGTGTGCAGCTCTGAGGGGTCTCTGTGTGTGTGCAGACAGAAGGGGACACAGATATGTGACTCTGAGGCCCAAGTGGGGGACAACATGAGTCCACGCACAGATGCTCAGAATCGGGACACCTGAGGGTTCCTTCCATAGAGGGAGGCTCCACTCACTTCCCCTCAGTGCCCTAGGCTGTCTCGACTGTCCACAGAGCTGAGGACTCTTCCAGCAAACGGAGAAACCGACGGCGTGCTTGCTCTACCTCGTGGATAAGAAGGGGCGGGGCACTGCTAAGGATCTCCATCGGGGGACCTTGCCCACGACGGGGCAGGGGTCCAGGGCCCTAACTGCAAGAGACTTGGATGGGTCTTCTGGGTGAGAACAGGGAGGGGGGCTTTGGGATGGAGGGTCAGGTGCACATAACAGGGAGAGAGAAAGACCCCGCGTGTCCTTCCTCGGTTGGAAGGTGCCAAGACCCAGGGGCGTATGGAGGACGGCCCCTGCCCCTGACCTGGAGTGGCCCACAAATGACTCCAGGGCAGCCCCCAGGCCTGTGTGTAGCTTCCCAGCAGAAGAGATGCCAGGAGTCAGAGTTTTCTTAGGGGCCGCTAGTAGACAAGCTTCGGATCAGGACACAAGCGCCAAGTGAGGGAGGCAACCAGAGAGCATTCTGGAGCGGGGCATTTCATCTCTCTGAGCTGCTGTGTCTCTTCATGAGATGGGGGACTTCTGCCCACTTCACAGGATTTTATGACAAGTGAGATGAATGTGGTATGTCACCAGCAATTAACAAACGTTATTCCCCCTCCTTTTCTACCCACAAGGCAGAGTTTGAGGGAACCTAGAAGCCAGGGATAAAGACAAAAATCACTGTGGCGTGCCTGTGAGCAGTGTGGGCAGAGAATCCGAGGGCCTGGGTGATGGCTCGAGACCATGCAGATCAGGGAGCAGGTCTGCACAGGGACACAGAAAGGCCTTGCTGAGTTACGTGTCCATGTGGCTACCATCTTGGCAGTGGGAAGCCCCAGGCCGCTGGTCCATTCTCAGCCCCGGACCGCAAGGTATGCCTTTCCCCATCGTGAGACCCAAGACTAGGATGAGGCCCTCTACAGCACTGGGCCCCAGCCCAGAGAGCAGAAGCTGGGGAGCTGTGCCCCACAGAGGCCTAGGGTGCTCAGAGCCCCCAGGAGCCAACGTGCAGGACAGATGACAGGACAGGTGCCCAAACTCTACACTGACAGAGATGACCTGTTTTAACCACTTGACATAGTTACAGTCTCCCCTGGAGACTTGCATCTGAATGGACCCTGAGCTGAAGGACAGACAGTTTGAAAACCACTCCCAGCATTCCCTCTTACCATGTGGCGAGCCCCAGTTGGCTTCCTCTTAACCTGAAGACACTAGGATTTCTTAGACACATCTCAGATTAGAGGGAGAGGTGGAGGGAGAGCAGTTGCAATCGTGAAAGTAAGAAAAGTAAGAGTAGCAAATTCCTCACGCAACACAAGCTGTTGAGAACTCCAGCACCGACCATTCCAGTGACAGACATTTTTTTGAGTGTCACTGTGTGCCCTCCATCCCAAAGCCCCCCTCCCTGTTCTCACCCTGAAGACCCATCCAAGTCTCTTGCAGTTAGGGCCCTGGACCCCTGCCCCGTCGTGGGCAAGGTCCCCCGATGGAGATCCTTAGCAGTGCCCCGCCCCTTCTTATCCACAAGGTAGAGCAAGCACGTCGGTTTCTCCGTTTGCTGGAAGAGTCCTCAGCTCAGCTTTAGGGAACGATGAAACAAAACAAAATCCCCGCTCCTCTAGTGGGGGATATCGGTAAGGAGACGTCACGACAACACAGTGGGACAGAAGGAACCAAATACAGTAAGAGGAGCTGGAAGTGTCCAGTAGTTCGGAGCAGTTGCGTGCAGGAACTGAGGACGGGGGAGGGAATAGGGAACAGGAGCTTTGAGTCTGGATAAAGGCAGGGACCCAATTACATGGTGGCATTTCCACCCAAAGGGCCCAAACTAGAGAGGATCATCTGAGCTAGCTATTGGAGAAAGTGTGACTGGATAGAGCCACCGTGGACACACAAGCAGAAGTGGGACTGTCATGGTAGAGGGGGCTGAATTGGGAGGTATTTGATAGGAAAGTTTCCACTGGGTTCTAAAGCGGCCCCTCCGAGCCAGCCTTGGGCGGTCAACTTCCGTGCCAGGCCAGAGCCACACAGGGAGCAGTAAGCTTAGGGGCTGGACTGTGGGTACATTTTCCAGTGAAAATGTATGGCACCGTCCACCTCAGGAGCCACGGCGTGGTCATCGTGGAAAGAGCACTTGACTATAAACCTTAAGTCTCAGCTTCCCCCACCGTTAACTACTGGGGGACCCAACATACAGAGGAGGCCTCAGAGGCCGTCGAGGTCAGAAACAGCACCTGCATTTCAAGGCAGAGATGCCTGACCTCCCCATCCTGGTTTCCCCTTGGGCCCCTCCCTCCTTGAGGTCAACATCCTTCAGAACCTAACAATAATCCTCCAGGGATTAGTTTATTAGAGGGCTTCCTTCTTTCCAGACAATTTTCTCTCTTTTCTCTTTCCCACCTTCTCCTGTCTGTCCCCCAGGAAAGGGGCAGTTACGACTCCTCTGGCCGCGGCCCGTGGTGGTGGGCCAGGGCGACCTGAGGCCCCCACACAGGGAAGAAATGGGGCGCGGGCACCTCCCCCACTCTCAGTCTGTCAACACACAGGTGCTTCCTCTGTTCTTGGTGCAGAAACAAGTGCGACTGTTTTTTCAACATTTTCATGTTTAATACCCGGTTGTGAGGAAAAAAAAAATCTCCAGTGTCCTGCTATCTCTTAGAACTGCAGACGCCCCTCTTTGTGGGGACAGTGCTATCGATCTCCCCCCCCCCCCCCCGTTCAAAGTCGGCCCCCTTACATTAAGCACTTGATGTGAATTAGAGTTGCTTACTGGTTTTTACTACAATTCTCTAGGAACAGAAAACCAAAACAACAACAATGAAAGGAGGAAAGGTGGGGGAGGGGAAGAGCAGGTGACTGAGACCAGCAAGCTCCCCCAAGGGCACAGGACAGATAGGACTGACTCCACCCCTGGAGACCAAAGAAGACTTTCCCTCAGGCAAGAGGGAGGCAACCTACATAAAGGAAACCTTTACTCTGTCCTGACTGCTCCCCCCCCAGCTCCTCCTCTAGAAATGAAACCAAGTCCCATTCCCATTGCTCACTGACTGGAGGTCCGCATCTTTGCCTCTCCCGCTCCCCTCTCCCTCCCATCCTTTCCCATCTCAGGAAAATGTCAAAAGCAATTTCCTGCCCTCCAGGCTGAAGTGACATTCCTGAGGCTTTAAGGAGCTGCATTTCTCGCAGATCAACACTGAGGCCGACTCCCTGTGGTGTGGTCTAGTGAACTTTTAGTGAAGAGCAATGGTGAGTCCTGGGTGGACAAGGTGTTTAAGGGGTACAGAATCCTGTCCCTCAGAAAGGCAGCATCAGAAGATGGAGACGTGATGGTCTGCAAAGCTCCATCTCCCTATCTCTGAAAGAGACATGCCATCAAACGTGCCCACGTCCCAGAGACATCAGGAGACACGAAGTCAGGTCTAGGCAACAAAGGCAGGGAGGGAGAACACGGCTCCTGCAAAAGGGTAGGGACGGCTGTCTGGTGACAGATTTTAACCTAGACATTTGAAAAATACACCGGCAGGCCACCCAGATGGTCCATTTATAACACGGTTAAATTCAGAAGCAACTTTTTCGGGTTTTTTTTATAGTTGGAAGAAAACATTCTTTTTTTTTTTTTTTCTTTTTTCTTTTCTGGACTTTCTTCTTTTTTATTCCTTGAATGGGAAGAGAAATCAAGTAGAATTCAAGAAGATGAACTGAAAATAAACCCCATATCCTCATTTTCCCTTTCTGAGGGGTAACAGGCTGGGTATGAGTGAGGCCTGAGGGAGAGAGGTCCCTGGGTCCCTGTGGTCACTAAGAGCAGATCACTGGGCCCCAAATAATGCTGGCTAAGGCACACAGAAATTTAAATGTGATTTCAGCATCCTCTGTAGCTTGACACGGAGCAAGCTGACACGAATAGCCAGGTATCCTCTGTGTGCACTCACTAGCTTAGCACCTTGAGTTATAATCTCAAGGATGCAATCATTAAATTAAATTTAAAATGAGGTCTGGTAAAGCTCTTTCTTTCTGGAAAGGAAAGCACACGTCATGATCAGCGTTCCTCAGTTGCACTTCCAGCTTCTACAACTCTGTTTAACCTCTAACTTTTGCATCGCGAGCTCTTGGGACGGAAATCTACTGGGGTGCCTGATGGGTTCCAAGGCAAAATCTTCCAGGAACTGCATGAGAGACTCTGTCCCTGGCAAAGGTGGGGTCCAAGGTCATGAAAAACGAACGCAAGAGCTTCCTCCTGGAAGTGTTTTCAACCACAGTTTTCTCCCCAAGGGACCAACCAGAGTGCAGAAGATGCACTGGCACTGGGCGATGGTCGTCATCTGCTCCACTGGATACTCCCCGAGACACAGCTTGCACGACACCAGCGGGTCGAGGGCCAGGTCCCACGTGGGCCGGTGCCGCGCGGTGGTCATGGCAGAGCAGTCTGCAATGAGAGAAGTGCGGGCCGTCAGACCCCCTTGTGTGAACTCACTGGCAGAACGAGGCAGGGATCCCTTCCGGCTGCAGCGAGATCCCCGGGAAGGGGCCCACGGCTCTAGACAACGCATTTGGGCACTCTGGGTTGTAAGCAGGGGTTCCTGACTTGGGTCTGTGGGGGACCCCTTTCCCACACAGCCGGTATGATCGTGTCGACCCTCAAAATGGCAAATGACCCATCCCATCCCTCCCTCCCTCCATCCGTCCCTCCTTCCTCTGGGCATTGAGTAAGCCCTCTCCCCCCGACCAAGCACCTGGCCCAGGAGACCAAGACCTTCGCAAGCTTCTGCTGAAACCGTCTGGTACGATGAAGCTGCTCTCCAGTCTCTGTTGAACCATCCCGGGGGAGCAGCGGCTGAAGCCCCCTCCTCACGCTCAGGGCCCTCTGAGCAGAAGGCACCTTCCCTCACAGGCTTCCAGCCACGCTGCCAGGTGTCATCTCACCCTCGAGAGTCAGCTCGACACTGACGCCTCCTTACACACACGCAGGTTTCCTAACATGTGAGCTTGAGGCAGGCAAGGGCCTTAGAGCAGACTTGCTCACGTGCGTGGGCCAGGTACACCTCACCGTGCCTGGTGTCTAGCAGACTCTCCCTACACATGAATAAAAGCCCCCTTCACTTCCCCATCCTCCCCAAACCCTCCCTAACCTGCCCACAGCCTGCCTCCTGACAGCATGGATGTTTCTGTTCATATTTATCACACTGATTTCCACCGCCTGCTGCTTGGGGAAGGCAGGGCAAGTGTGGTCTCTGGTTGGTAGGTCAGCACCCGATCGATCCACAGTGGCCTCTCTGCACCTGCTGGTTGAGTGAACGGACGCACCCTTGCCTCTAGGCAGGCGCATTCTCACCCTGAACTCCTGGAGCCTGACTGAAGCCAGTGAGGGCCAGTGTGCACCTGCAATCAGTAAGCATGTTCCTTGCGCCTCAAACTCAGAATGGAGTCAGGTTTGCTAAAATCTCAGACACGGTCCAGGGCCATCTGAATGCTGAGAGGGACCCCCAGCTCTCAGGGTCCAAACGGACTTGGACAACAGGTGCCCTTCTCTGTCCCGCTTTTGAACTGGGGGACAAAGAGCAAAAGATAGCAAGAGACACCTGCCTTCCCTGCTAGTTGGCAAGGCCATGGCATCGGGATTTGTCTTGTCCAGTTTTCCACTTACAGCAAAGGCAGGTGTACATTAAAACAAAGATATAACACAGGAAGAAGAAAACAAATCAAAACACCAACCAACGACCGGAAGGGACACAAAATGATTCTAGCATCTTAGAAAGATTCAGAGACGTAGGAGACACAATTTCCCGCCTTCGGGTCTTCAGATTCAATTCGGGAACTCTCTCTGTCACATAAAAAGCTAATTGATAATATAAGGCAGGATATGGTCGATGTGAGAAATCAGTGCTCCGGGTATGTGGTAAAGATGCAAGGAAGTCTGGGTAGAATCGTTAAAATAGCTTCATGAGGAGGATGAAGTTTGAGTTTGGAAGGGAGGTGCCATTTCACACAGGTCAAAGAGAGCAGCTATCAAAACGGAAGAGAAAGTACGCTAACATCTTTCCCTGGACAGAGACTGGCAGCCCCACAGTAAGAAGAAAAGGAGCTCTCTGCTCTGAGACAAAGAGGATACCCAGAACCAGTACGGGCAGCTCTGTGGCCATCACTGGCCTTGCTGCACTCGTGTGTGTGATGGGGCTGATGAGCTCTCGTCCCCTGGGGATGCTGTGAGGACCTGGCATATACAGGAAGTGCTCGGGAAAGACCAGGGAAGACCTACTCCCCCTCCCGAGAGGTCTCATTCAGCCATCCTTTTATGGATCTGCGAGAAAGACTCGGAGGTATCAGACATTTCCATCATCTGTACAAGTTATCTTTAGGGATAAGGAGCTGTCATGAGAACTTCTGAAAATGTATTTATATCCCTTTCTCAGGTTCTGTCAGTCGTAGCTCACTAGATATCACTAAGCCAGTGTTCGGGCAGGACTCAGCTCTGTGGACTCTATGCTGGGCGTCCAGATGGGGGAGAAGCTATGGCACAATCCTGAATGCAGTCTGAGGAGATAAGACACAGTGACAAAGAACACAGGGACATCAGTGGTGTGAACTAACAGATAAACAGGGGAGAGCCTGACCTTCAAGAGCTAAGCAGATGAGGGCAGCTACTAAAGGCTGGCAGGAATCCGTGTGGGGAGAAAGGACAGAGATCAGCATTCAGGGCAGGAAAGGGACAGTGCCCATGAGGATCTGGACTCCTCCCAAGACTGCTAACAACCAGGAACACCTTAATCTAATCTAACAACTTCTTGTTGTTAGAAAAGAACTCTTTGACACAAATTCAAATAACTTTTGGATTGGTTGGTGCCTTCGACGTAATTTAAGCAAGTTGTCCTTTGATCAGCCGCCCATGGGGCCAGCACTCACAATCTGAGGTCACTCAGCTATCTGGGGGTGCAGAGAGAACCAGATGTGCACTCCCCTAAGTTCATTTTAATTTGGAACATTCCTCCATACCTTGAATCTATCCATACTAGTATTATTATTATTAATTATTATTATAACATTGTTATTATTACTTTAGATGTCCACAAGCATTTTCTAGATCCTGGGCTCATGAGTCAAGGTTTTTGTTTTGTTTTTTTTTTTGTTTTTCCTTCATATTCCTCTGTATCTTTTTTTTGTTTGACTCCCTAAGGATTTTTTTTTTTTAAGTAACATTGCTTAAACTCACTCTCCAGAGTGAGGATTAGGTTTTGACTATGAATGTTAGCTGGCCCTATAAGGGATCAAAACCTATATAAGAGGCATGGCAGGCCTGGGCCAAAGGCTGCTGACTGGCTTGTCCCTCCCAGAGAGCACAGGGTAGGTGGCTGTGAGCTATGGCCCAGGCTCAGATTCCGGAGGGCACTGTAGCAGCAGTCTCAGGGGAAAGAGCTCCCCCCTTTGGAAGGGAGCAGACCTGGGTTCAAACACTTGTTCTGCCACTTGGTCACTAATTTTGGAGAAACTTCATAACTTCTAGGAACTTTAGTGTTTTGACTTCTTAAAACTAAACACCACAACCTCCCTTGCTTGTTGTGAAGAGTGAGAAGAAATATATTTAAGATTCCTGGGCCTTTTTACCTGTCTGGTAGGTGGAAGTCACTATCGTATGTCAGGTTCAAGACCCTGGACATGAACCCATATGGGTTAATGGGAGAGACAAGCTGCTGAGCAGAGAAACTGTAGGATAAATTCAGTCTTTCAGGAAGTCCCCCGTGCTGGTGGAAATCTTTGGAAGAAGCAAACCAAAATGAAAGCGTCCTGCCTTTTTTTTTCCCTTAAAGATTTATTTTAGAAAGAAAGAGAAAGAGAGAGAGAGAGAGCAAGAGCGCACACACCTGAGGGGCAGAGGGAGAAGGAGAGAGATCTCAAGCAGACTCCATGCTGAGCGCAGAACCTGAGACAGGGTTCAATCTCACAATCTGATATCAGCACCTGAGCCGAAACCAAGAGTCCGTCGCCTAACCAACTGAGCCCCCCAGGCACACCTGAAGCCTCCTGCTTTATGGTCTGCTGTCAGTGCGGTCCAAATTCGGACCACACTCGAGGATGCGGCAGAACAGCAGACATCTAGGGACAAGCTTTCCTGCAGTCCTCACAGCCCCGACCGCACATCCTGGGCAGACTGTGCATCATGGGAGCACTCGCCTGCCCCAGAAACCGCCTCTGCCTCCACACTAGACCACCTGTCCTCTCCTGGCTGTTCGCTCCCAGACGTTGCTTGCTCTCCCCAGCCTCTGGGTTTGGCTCTATTTCCTGTTTACAGCATCTCTGAAGACATGATCCTTTGCACAACTGCAGCCTTGACCCCTCACTTCCTTTCTTCCTGAACCACGATTTCCACTTGACCTCGAGACAGTGCAGCTGCCCGCTGCCCTGGGCACATGTCAACCATGGCCCCTCACTTCCCTCCCTGAGAACTACTCTCGAAGCAGGTCAAATTCCGACTTCCTGGCACCGAGTCAGTATTCTTTCCCCTCGAGATTAGAGACTCTCTGAATGCCCCAAATCAGGATTTAAATGTAGATTAACAATGGAACACATTTTCGAAAAAAAGAAAAAAAAAGAAAAGATACTGTTTAAGCCCTTCATGGGCCACCCCTGCATACAGGATGGGCCAAATATGATTTTACAAACACTGAACAGCTGCAAAGCTGAAATAGGAATTTGCTAAGAAAATCACAATGCACAATAAAAGAAAAAAAAAAACGGTCTTTGTTTTCCTAATGGGAAGGTCAAGTCACATGAAGCCAACTATTTTAAGAACATCTGGTCAATTATGAGTATTACTCAATGTAAGGAATTCAAACTGTTTCTGAGGGAAGCGACTTGCTACTCGCTGCTGGGTCACACCGAGTGGCACGTGGTGTAAGATTCGTGGCCTGTGGAGGACGAAGGCTGGAAGGGAAGGCCGGCTGTGTGTTAACCCAAGCCCACCCCGGGGATGGGCCGGAGCCATCCCACCCCTGCGCTCTGGTCTGTGCTCGTCTGTGGGTCCCTATCCTCCCATTTTCACCTCTGCAAAGATGGCCAAGGAAGGCAGGGTATCTGTTGGCCACTCACTGACCACCTGTCCCTCTCCTAAGTCCTCCAACAAACTCGCCTAAGCTGGCTGAGTCTCACCCACTTCCTCCCATCCACACGCCTTCCCTGCCCCATCACATGTCTGCATCCTCTGAGCCCTCCATGCATACCATCAGCCCCTGGTGTTATGAGGTCTCCCTCAGCTCTCTCAACCCTCTCAGCTGTCCCCGCTTTCCTGGAGTCTCTGCTGCCTGCGGTCAATTGATTCTGAACACCTGCTCCCCAAAACATCAGCCCTGGCACTGCTAGAGAAATTGCTAGTATGCGACTCCTTGGGCCCTGACCCAGACCTACAAAATCACAAACTCGTGGGGGCAGAGGTGG